GTTGAAGAGTGTGCCTGTGTTCCACATTCAACACACAACGCAATGGTTTTGCCACTAAGGCGTGATATCTGATATATGATATGGTATGGTATGCCCAGTCTCCGAGGTCCAGATAAATCCAAAGAGTCACTTTGCTGCATTCTGGCTAACTAAACCTAGCACTTCTGATTTGTTAACCAGGTGATCCTTTTAGCTACAGCCATATGACTGGATGAAACAGACCACAAATAATATTTTGTTCTGATGGACACAAGTAGTTGAGGGTGCTTCCTATACTATTAAACAACTGGCTCCTACTTCTCTTTGGGCATCAAGATTTGCTTGTTAAAAAAAAATCAGCACTCTGCTCAGTTTCTCAAAGTTTAGAATGTAATCACATTGAACATCATTCACATTACAATCCTCGACACAAAATAGCTGGAAATAGACCAACTGACCCAGCAAGTCTACCGCGCTCAGTTATCGCATTGAATTATCAAAGAAAATACAGCACAGAAACAGGACACTTTGCCAGTGCTTGTACCCCACATCGGCAAATCTTCACCCCTCCCCCACCAACTTCAGGCAGTCTGATTAGCTGTGGCTCATTTGGCAGCCAGCAATTTAGGTTCAAGCTTCCATGCATAACTTGAGCACAAATTTTGTTGGCAATTCCCCATTATTCTTTAATTTTAGTTCAACCGTTCCTTACGTTAGTGAATTCCACATACTTTCCACAGTGGGAAAATAAATTTATTCTGAATTCTCAAATTAATTTATTGGTGATTATTTTGTATTTACGATGTGCGGTTTAGTTTCTAACCCCAGGAAAAGGTAGACTTACCATTGAGGAATGCAGCAAGGATATACCAGACTAATTCCTGGAAAGGTAGAATGAATCATTTGGGGTATTGGTGGTGGTAGTGGGGTGGGTGGTATTCATAGGATACCAAGGCATTAGGTGGCATTGTAGAGCAATATTCTAATAATGCTGCTCACGGGGGATAAGGAGGGAAAGAGTAAACAAAAATGAACAACAACAAACTGGATTGGAGTGAGGAAGAAATAGTAAAAGGACAATATTAATAGCTCTTCACTTAAATTTGCAAAGTATTCGGAGAAAATAAATAAATTAACAGCATAAAGAGAGGTTAATGGTATGATCTTATAACTATTACAGAGGCATGGTTACAAGGAGATCAACGCTGGGAACTAAACATTCAAGGATATCTGACTTTCGACAGGGAAGGCAGGAAGAAACAAGTGAGTGGAAGGGTAATGTTGTTAGTGTGAGATGCAGTCATGATTGTAAGAAATGATGTGGATTGGATGAAGTAGATTTCACATGGGTGGAGATATGAAACAAAGAGGTGAAGAAAACACTGCTGGGCATAGTCTTTAGGCACCCTGACGGTAGCTACGCTGCAGAACAGAGAATAAATGAGAAAATAATAAGGGCATGTTAAAAAGATAATATACTGACTATCGGTGACTTTAATCATCGTGTAGATTAGGATAGTTAGATTGGCAGAGGATGAATTCATAGTGTGTATTCAGGACAGTTTCCTAGAACAATATGTTGCGATTTCAAATAGAGATCAGGCTATTTAAATTGTCTATGTTTCCATATCTGTAATTTTGATATCTTCTTTACTCCCTGTGTGGAAGATATCCATCAGGCTACATTCAGTCCTTCTTTTACTGAACAAAATGCTGGCTGCCTGTTCAATCTTTCCTGCTTGCTATAATCTCTATTCTGGCACCATCCATTTGGATTTTTTGTTGCAGTTTATGCAGTGAATCTGGTACAGCCACGTATATAAATGGCCCACCTTGTAATTAAACAAACCCCTGAGAGACAAAAAAAATCAGCTTCATTTAGAAAAAGCACAGGCAAATTCCCCAAGGCAATCAAGCAGAATCACAAATCCCCATACACCTAGGGAATCCATGACTTGCACTCTATGACGTTACCCAGCTCCAGAGATTAGCTGGTACACATAGGAACATGCTTTGCAAAATGAGATAGAGGATACGGACAGACTAGTGAACGTGGTAGATGACAGTTAATACACGGAAAAGAGAGGGGGTGCATTTTGGAAGGAAGAGCGAAGAGAGTCCAACTGATGGTATATTCTTAGAACAGATGCAGGAATAGACAGAACTGGGAGTTCACACACAGAAAACTTTGAAGGCAGCCAAACAACTTAACTTAACAAAAAAAAGCACATGTGACCTTGGGCATTATAAATAGAAACACAGAGTAGAAAAGCAAGGAAACGGTGCTAACTTCTGTAAATCTATAGTTAGACCTCAGGTGGAGAACTGCAGCCTTTTCTGAGCATGACATCAGTGGAAGTCAATACCTTCTGAGAACATGCAGAGATTAACTAGTAAGTTACCAGTTCAAATGGAGACCGTAGTTTAAGGTTGCTCTTCTGCGTGCAGAGAAGTGTAAGGTGAGATGAAACACTAGCGTTCTAATTACAAGAGATTTTCACGGAGTAAATGAGGAGCAATAACTTCAAAATGATGGAAGTGTTGACCACCAAACAGCACAGATCTAAGGTAACTTGCAAAGATATCACAGGGAAAGCCAGAATAATTCATCTTCACACAACCCATTATTGTGATCTGGAATGCACCACCCAAAAAGGTGGTGAAATTCTTTATTTCATTCTTTCCTGGGATGTGAGATTCACATACAAAGTAACAATTGTCGCCTTTCCTTATTTTCCCTTGAACTGAATGGCTGGTTAGGCCATTTGAAAGGGCAGGTAAGAATCAACCACATTACTGTGGATCTGGTATCGCGTACTGGTCAGATTTGGTAAGGATGGCAGATTTGGTAAGGATGGCAGATTTGGTAAGGATGGCAGATTTGGTAAGGATGGCAGATTT